ATAGACGGGCGTTTAATTTTTTCGCAATTGCGAACGATATGGAAGCTGACGGACGAGTGAAATGCTACCCACAATTTAAAACTTCGAAGACATTGATCAAATAACGAATCTATATTCTAATGCTAAATGGTTCACGGAAAGAGAGAGAGAGAGAGAGAGAGAGAGAGTGAGACGGTGGAGAGAGAGTGAGACGGTGGAGAGAGAGTGAGACGGTGGAGAGAGAGTGAGACGGTGGAGAGAGAGTGAGACGGTGGAGAAAGAGTGAGACGGTGGAGAGAGAGAGAGAGAGAGAGAGAGAGAGAGAGAGAGAGAGAGAGAGAGAGAGAGAGAGAGAGAGAGAGAGAGAGAGAGAGAGAGACGGTGGAGTGAGAGAGAGGGAGGGGAGAGAGATGGAGAGATTAAGAGGGGCGGAAGGGGGAGGGAGAGAGAGAAGAGATCCTTATAAAAACAGTTATCATCATTCTCCAATGAAATCCACTCATCTACTCATCTATATTGTGTCAAAGTAACAAATCTCATTTAATATTTTTTTGAATCTGATTCTAAAAGTGAAAATGTCAAATTTTGTTGAAGTACGGAAAAACTAAAAATTGGTATACTATTTAGAAATTTTCGTAATGCGTCTTACTTCAGTTGTTTATCAATAAACCGAAATTGCTGACGTTTCGCCAATCATCCTGTTTGCTTCTTCAGAGTTTAACTAAAATTATCCACTATCACTATCAATATACTATCTACTATCTACGTTTTACTTATATATTATCGTTTCGGATGAAAATTCCCATATTGTTGAAAGACCTGGGTCGCTTTTAAGATTATTTGGTTACTTATACACTTCTGTGGATTCTCGGATTTTTCGTTGGTAAAAAAATTGGGCACATGCAAGAATTTTTGTTTTATCGAATAAGATTTGATGTCCGGTTTCGTGATTATGTTTGTCTTTGATGGATCGAACGAACATGTTGAGAGATTTTTGGACAAGTGGTAAATCGGGACCACATTGGAAGAGAATGTGGGCTTCCTCTTTGGTTAACTTGCCAACTTCGGCTCCTCGTGGCCTCTGAAAGTAGTAGACAATGATTCAGTAGAAATACTAAGGGATCGTCGAATTTCTATTGTCTTTTTTAGATATGTTTGCTAGAAAGTTGCAGAAAATAATTCAATATAAATATTAAGTTATTATCGAACTTCTATTGTTTATTTTAGATGTTATATATTTGTTTGAAGATGGTAGAAAATGATTTAGTGGAAATACTAAAGGATTGTCGAATTTCTATTGTCTTTTTTAGATATGTTTGCTAGAAAGTTGTAGAAAATAATTCAGTATAAATATTAAGTTATTGTCGAACTTTTATTGTTTATTTTAGATGTTATATATTTGTTTGAAGGTGGCAGAAAATTATTTAGTAGAAATACTGAAGGATTGTCGAATTTCTATTGTCTTTTTTAGATATGTTTGTTAGAAAGTTGCAGAAAATAATTCAATATAAATATTAAGTTATTGTCGAACTTCTATTATTTATTTTAGATGTTATATATTTGTTGAAGATGGTAGAAAATGATTTAGTAGAAATACTAAAGGATTGTCGAATTTCTATTGTCTTTTTTAGATATGTTTGATAGAAAGTTGTAGAAAATAATTCAGTATAAATATTAACTTATTGTCGAACTTTTATTGTTTATTTTAGATGTTATATATTTGTTTGAAGGTGGTAGAAAATGATTTAGTAGAAATACTAAAGGATTGTCGAATTTCTATTGTCTTTTTTAGATATGTTTGCTACAAAGTTGCAGAAAATAATTCAATATAAATATTAAGTTATCGTCGAACTTCTATTGTTTATTTTAGATGTTATATATTTGTTGAAGATGGTAGAAAATGATTTAGTAGAAATACTAAAGGATTGTCGAATTTCTATTGTCTTTTTTAGATATGTTTGCTAGAAAGTGGTAGAAAATAATTCAGTATAAATATTAAGTTATTGTCGAACTTCTATTGTTTATTCTAGATGTTATATATTTGCTTGAAGGTGGTAGACGAAGATTCGGTAGAAATACGAAATTAATGTTTAACTTCCATTATCCATTAGTAGATTCAGTAGAAATACTAAGCGGTTAGCGAACTTCCATTGCCTTTTTCAACCGTTATATGTGTGCTTGAACATGGTAGGCAATGATTCGGTTGCATGTTTGCTTGAAGGTAGTAGACACCGATTCAGTACAAATACTAAGTGATTGTCGAACTTCCATTGTTTATTTTAGATGTTACATATTTGTTTTAAAGGTCAACGATTCAATACAAACAATTAAGGATTGTAGAACTTTTATTGTCTTTTTTAGAAATTATTTGTTTGTTGCAAGTGGTAGGCAATAATTTAATGGAAATACAAATGGATCGTGGAATTTCCAAAGAAAAGACAATTTAAGTTCGACAATTCTTTAGAACTTCTACTGAATAAGTATAGCTTTGCTTAAAAACTAGGTACGAGGGCCGTTTTGAATTCCGCATCCAAAAATAATCCGGAAGAAGTTGAAAAATCGCGGGCAATGGCGGCTCTGTAATCACTCGTGGGTTTATTTGTTGTTGGAAAAATCGCATCTATCGCTAGCAAAACTTTCGTATTGTAAACGTAAACGTAAAAGGAGAACCGAAGTTGTTATTGTCCGTAATTATGGTCCCGTAAATGGCGTTTGGACTGCAGATAGGCTTGACGGGTGTAATTTCAGAACCGCATGGACATAATATTATCGCCGAAACGTGACAGTGCGATTTATATTCCGAAACTCCCGGCCAGTTTTGAAATGCGCGCAAGGGAATACTCTATTTTCGATCAAATTGAGGAGTAACCACCGAGACAAAAAAATCAATCAATCAAATCAATACTACTAGCAACAAAATCTGAATATCTCGCACGTCTTTGTCTTGTTTGCCTATTTACAGATGAAGCAAACTTTTCCAGAAATTGTTGATTGTCACAATAACCATATTTGGACCGATGAAAACCCCCGCGCAGTTGTATAATTTAAACATCAGTAACAAACAGTAAATGTTTTTTTGCTGGAATGGTTGGAAATTACTTAATTGGAAATTTTCCCTGTCAGAAAGTTAAATGGCCATAATTATCCCCGGATTTTAGATGATTTGCCAATATTGCTAGAAGGATCATATGTACTTAGGAATATATTTTAGTTCGTGCATGCTCACTTTAGTGTTAGTGACATAGAACGTAATATATTGTTACTTCGTAATAATTGTATGTACATGTTTCAAGAAAAAAAACTGAAAACATACTTATATGAAGGTCCCGGAATGGTTATGGGTAAAAGATCTGCTCGGCAGGGTGTTCTAAAATGGGCTGCGGTTTTGGAGCAATAAACAGTAGGCAAAGTTAATCACTGTTGTAAAAACACTATATTTCTGGTTCACCTATAACACTTTCCTTCAAAGAGGAGGGGACATATTTAACAATTTGTCTAGTTTCCATGTTATACTTTATCTTCAAAAACGTTCTCATTAATTTATTAATAGACAGTTTTGTTAAAAAGTATTACTAGTAAGTGGCATTTTTTTAAAATAACAATCGTCAATTATTTATCTTGTTCGGATGTTACGTTATTTCACAAAAATTGTAAAAGTTAAAAGGACAGTCTTCTAATATTTTTTTCTGAAAGACACTAGTTGGTAACTCATCATCATCACTCTGCCTATCCACTTAATGGATGTTGGCGACCACACGCTGAAATTGGTTTCTATCTCTTGCCGCGTTGACAAGTTCCCCAATTGTTTTTAGACCTGTCCATTGTCTAATGTTCCTTGCCCATGACATCTGTTTCCTTCCTATTCCTCTCTTGTCATCCATTTTACCCTCTAATATGAGTTGTAACAGCTGATACCTATCATGTCTAAAAATGTGTCCGAGGTAGGCCGTTTTCCTGCGTTTTACGGCTGTAAGTAGTTCTCTGTTCTTATGAACTCTTCTTAGTACTTCGTCGTTAGTTACTCTGTCCGTCCACGGGACTCTCAGAAGACGTCGGTAGGTCCACATTTCGAAGGCTTCCACTCTGTTGATCATTTTTGCATTCACAGTCCATGCCTCCACTCCGTACAAAAGTACCGACCAAACATAGCATTTTGCATATCGGACTCGAAGAGACAGGTGCAGGTCTCGATTTCTAAGGATTTTTTCATATCTCATGAATGCCGCACGTGCCATCTCTGTTCTGCACCTAATCTCTTTTTCCGAGTTCCATCCTGCATGCAGCCAACATCCTAAGTATTTGAACTGTGTTACTCGTTCTATATTTCGGTTTTCTATCTGAATTGTGGCATCTGTATACATTGGTTTTTTCCTACTGATTATCATAAATTTGGTTTTGTCGGCGTTAATGTTTATCCCGTATTCGTTGCTGCTGCCACATAACCTAGTACACATTCTCTGTAATTCCTCAACATCATTGGCAATGAGGACAGTGTCATCCGCATATCGGATATTCGAAATTGGTATTCCGTTCACTTTCACTCCCAACTCTTGTTCTTCAAAAGCTTCGTCGAATATTGCTTCGGAGTATAAATTAAAAAGCAATGGAGACAGGACGCATCCCTGTCTAACTCCTCTCCGGATATCAATATCTTCAGTAATAATGTTTTGTATGGTAATATTAGCTGTTTGACCCCAGTACAATCTCTCGATACACCTTATGTCCTTGTCGTCGACATCGGTTTTTCTCAAAATCTGCATGAGTTTTGAATGCTGTACACGATCGAAAGCTTTTTCATAGTCGACGAAACATAGAAATATGTCCTTATTAACATCTAGACAGTTTTGTATTAAGACTTGGAGTCCGAAAAGCGCCTCACGTGTTCCCATACCTGATTTGAATCCAAACTGGCTAGGGCCGATAATTTTCTCGCATCTGTGCTGTATTCTCCTGTGTATTATTTTGAGGAAAATTTTTAAGGAGCGGTTCATCAGACTTATGAGTCTATGATCTTTGCACTTTCAGGCGTTGCTGTTCTTGGGTAGGGGTATAAAAGTTGATCTTAACCAGCTTCGGGGAAAGTGTCCTGTATTGTAGATATAATTGAATATTTTGAGCAAGACGTCGATATTGTCGTTATCAATCAGTTTCAAAACCTCCCCTGGTATACCATCTGGTCCTGTAGCCTTATGATCTTTTGCTTCCATAACCACTTTCTTTATTTCTTCCCTCAATATAGGTGGCCCTGATAATGATTCGCTGAACTGGTTGTCTTTTAGGCCTTCACGAGAATCATCGGCAAATAAATCTGTGATATATTCTTCCCACAGCTGTTTCTTTTCATTTGCTTCTATTATGAATTTGTTTGTGTCATCGGTATATATTCCTGGAGGTCGTTTTTTATACATTCCAGATGCTTCTTTCATCTTTTTGTGTTCTTCACTCGTATTGTGTATTTGTTGCAAGTATTCAATTTCCTTACACTCCCCCTCCAGCCATTTCCTTTTAGCCTTTCTAATATCGGATCTTATTAGTGAGTTTAGCCTCTTGTATTCATCATGATTAGTGTTCTTGTGCTGTCTGCGTTTGTCCATTAGTTGTAGGATCTCGTCAGTTATCCATTTCTTTTTGCTGCGTCTTTTTTCATATCCCAGACATTCAATTGTGACGTTCTTTATGGTAGTTTCAACTGTTTCCCATACTTCCAGTGGTTGTTGATCTGTTTGGCCTTTTATATGTTCCAATTTTTGGTTTAGTTTGTTCCTAAGATCAGACTTTATCTCCTCCTGCTGTAATTTCGAGGTGTCTAATTTTCTTATTTGACCTTTGTTGACCTTGCACAAAGCTAGTTTTAGCTTTATGCTTATCGTTAGAAGACAATGATCGGATGGCACGTCGGCGCCCGGGTACGTCTGCGCTCTTGAGACGGTTGTGCTGAACCTCTTGTTAACGAGGACAAAATCGATTTGATTCCGTACAATATTTCCAGGTCTATCCTGCGGTGCCCTCCAGGTATACAATCTTCTCGGAGGTAGGGAGAACCAAGTATTCATGATTTTAAAATGTTCTTCTTAACAGAATTTTATTAGTCTGTCTCCTCTAATGTTCCTTTCTCCCAGACCCCAAGGACCAACCACTCCCCTGATCACTTCTCCTTTGCCCACTTTGGCATTAAAATCTCCTTGGATAATGTTCAGATCATGCGGCTTCGTGTACTTTAGGAGCTGTTTGATGTCCTCATAGAAGGATTCAATTTCTTCTTCGGATTTGTCTAGGGTGGGGGCATATACTTGAATTATATTGATATTTATTGGTTTTGCTTCAATTTTTAGTAGCATTGTTCTATCATTGTATGGTATAAAATCTGTTACACCCTTGCTTAGGTTTTTATTCACGATAATGCCAACTCCGTGTCTGTGATATTGATCTTCGTTGCCAGAATGGTAAAATACTGCGTCGTCAGTAATGCAACGTCCAGAGGAAGGCCACCTTGTTTCGCATATTCCTAACAGTGCTAGGTTTAGTCTTCGCATTTCTTTGATGGTGTTTGCGAGTTTTCCAGCCTCGAACAGGCTTTGCACATTCCATGATCCTATGTTAAATTTATTTTTGACTCCGGGGATTCTTAGCACCCTCTTTTTGCCGGAGACTGAGGGCCGTTCACTTTGTTGGTAACTAAAAACTAAATATTTTTGTTCAGACAGATATTTTATTTTTACAAAAAAAAGTTAAAAAAACTAATTTCTCTGCATGCTGTCATATTAGCGGTATTGTCACGACCTTGCAGAGAAGAAGTTTTTATTTTTTTAACAACCGTACATTCGATTTAATCAAGAAATTAAATTTCTTTGGAAATCATTGCAGATTGTAAGAACCATTTTTATTTTAAGAGAAATATTTGTCAAAATATACAGGTGAAATTTATAAAGTGGTATTGCAGATATTAAAAAAAAATAAAAAACTTGTTTATACGAAGATTCGTTCTTAAAATGAATTAGAAAACACCCTGTATATGCGTGACGTTGCCAAGTGTACAGTTTTTCCTTAGATGTCCGAACTTTCTATTCATTGAAAGAAAAAAAAAATTTTTCTGTCGCCTTAAATTATGTGTTTCCGAAAACGGAAAAATTCGTGACAGCCATTAGCGTAGCAAACGCGCCGACGGCGGCGCGTAGAAAGTAAAATGTCTCCCTCGAAGCTTCCGCCGAATCCGATTGTGTTTTCGATCAGCGCGCGTTTATGAAAGTGTGAAAGCGGGCAGAGTAAAAAAAAATCTGTCTCGAGAGCGTCGTTGACAAAGTTAGCTCTCCCCCACCTCCCTTCAGCAGGTAGGGTATTTAATATTAATTTCTAATGGAAATTGTTTTTTAAACGTGAAAACGTTTTAAATTAAACGCGGATAAAATATTATTTAATTATTTATTTAAAACTAAAGGAAAATCTATCCTTTTTATTCTACTAAGGAAAAAACTGTAGTCTTGGCAATATCTCTCATATTGGGTTTCTAAAGTTTTTATCTCAAATGTAACAAAATATTTCAAAATAAAACATGAACAATAACTAAAATTAAACAACTAAACATCTACAATAATATGATATACAATCTACAGGTTTATTTGAATCGCTATTACACAAATTATGTCACATTGCTTGTTCCTCCGTAAGCTTTGGTCAATTTTGAGCTTCTGTCGAGAGTTTTCCAATTAACTAACCAAAACTAACCGAAACTGCATGTTTATTGAGTAATACCTCAAATTTAGCCCCACCACTACCATTTCATATTCTATAGTCATTATAAACAAACACATTTTTCGCAGTCTAAATGAAATTTTCGAATAAAAAGGTAGGTAAGTAACTTGATGTTTCCGTCCATTAATATTATTATTATTAATAAATATCATCAAAGTGGATGATGCATTTTCGTTTAAATGTATGCGCTATTTGGATATTTTTTACAGTGACTGCGAAAAAAAAGTATATAGAAACTTGGCAGGTTTCCATCCACTGAAAATTAGTTTAATTATGTAATTTAATTTGAAATTCCATTTAACTAAATGAAATTTATAAATTTAAGTTAATACAATTCCAAATTCAAATTAATTACTTATTTCGTTAGTTTAATTTATTTAATTAAATTCCCTTTAAACTAATTTAATAATATTAATTAATTTAATTCAATAAGAACAATTTAATGATTCATGCAAACACTCGTGTGGGAAAACTGGATAATCTTACACCTAGAACTGGTGAATATCTGTGCATTGTTAATGCTCATTCTAAAAGTTAAGTCGTTTCGAGTTATACCTTGTTTTTGTTTATTTTATCTATTTTTTTTTTCGTAGAGTTCCGTTAGAATTGTATGGAGGAAGTCTTAGTACTTTGGCGCCTAAAGGTTTCACATATGTGTCCAAGTAGTTTTTTTTTGGAGACCACAGGGGAAAAACAGGGAATGTCACAAAATATCAAATATTGAGTTAGAGAAATATGTATTTTATTATAAAGATGTCTCGGGAAAAATAAGGAATGTCCCCAGATCTCTTCGACGTAGATTATCGATTCTAATTTAATTGTGAAGTATTTTATTAAAACGGAGAGACAATATCGTTTTAACCATGCAGAGAAGAAATTTTTATTTTTTTATGCGATAACCGCACATCGGATTGGAAAAAACTTGATGATAGAAGAATATTTTTTATTTGCGGAGTAATCATTGGCGTACCATCAATCTCTGCCAAAATAGACCGGTGAAATTCCATATGCCCGTCCAAAAATTGTAGTATACTACTTAAAGTCTGCCAAATTGCATTAAAATATCTAAAGTGGTATTACAAATATTAAAAAAATATATATTTTAATCTTGAAAATATCACATCCGCGTATTTCAAAAGTTAAGACGTACATGTCGTATGTACATGAAATTTGCTTTTTAAAATGGACCCAAAAATTATAAAACACCCTGTATATGAACAATCAAACCCAAACCTAATAAAAGTGCTAAAAATTGTTTTTTTTTTTTAATTATAGAAAGTCTTTTGGCCAACCCGCTGTTAATGAAAATGGCACGCGAAGGCCATAAAAAAATGTCTCATTGTTAACCGCTTGTTGAAGCGTTTTAACAGATTGCTCGTGTTTACGACATATGTACGACCGGCGCCAAGTAGTTAACTGAAAATTACAAAACTGTTATTGTTTTCCAGATATAATATACAGACGTTTTTTTTTTTTGAGAGCTTATAATTGCTGCGGCGCTCACATAAAATAATTGAAATCTATTTTAGAGCACGTCGGAAAAACGGATGATTGATAGCTCCCAATATGGATTATCTGGAATGCGGCTGCAGTTCAAGAGTGTAACGGCGGGACTGCTCGTGCTTGTACACTCAAGTGGCGTCCCAAAATCAAAGCTGGGAAAAATATTACAACATTTATAAAATTAATTCGTCACAAATATAATAAGATATAGTAAATATCCAGAACTATTACCGTTTTATATATTTGTTATTAAAAATTTATCAACTTGTCATTTTTTCTTTGATTTTAGTAAAGCAAACGGTGGATACAACTCGCCGTGCTTTTGGTCCCACTCGATAGCATCCGATTGCTAAAAATAACGCTGCCCGTTTCTAAGGAATTCGAGTAAATGATTTTTAAGCTGATAATAAAATAATAGTAGTCAATAGAAAGTCCAATAAGAACGGTAAAATTGTAAGTAATAAATAAGAAACATTTGCACATGTGAATATAGCATTAACAGTTTTTCCCGTATTTAGCAGAAAGAAATAACAATAATTAACAGAAAAAGAATTTTTTTGCAAAAATTCCATAACTACGCCAAAAGAAATAATGGCAACACGCACTTTAGCAAAATAAATCTGATAAATAAATAAGCACAATCAGTACTTAACCAAAAGCAACCCCGATAAATTAATAAGCAAAATTTGCTAAACAAACATTAGCAGTAATTGTTTTGATTACTCATCACTTTAGCAAAAAAAAATGCAACAATTAAATATTTTTTTGCCAACAAGAGCATTAATAACTTTTCTTAATCTTCATTTTAGCAAAAAAGCTGAAACCATTAAAATTCTAGCGAAGCATCAGCAAAGTTTATTAATTAAAAATTGGAACTGTTTTAAATATTCTTTCTTTGTGAAAAAGTTTAGCAAAAAAAAGGCAATCGGCGAACAATCAGCAAAATTTGTCAATTTTCCCTAGTTAAAAAAACGATCGATTCTCACTTTAGCAAGAAGAATTAAGTTTAAACCCGAGTAATTTTTTTGCTTAGCCAGAAATTTTCTTTTGCTAAACAAACATTAGCAGTAATTGTTTTGATTACTCATCACTTTAGCAAAAAAAAAAACTGCAACATTTAAATATTTTTTTGCGAACAATCAAATTTGTCACTATTCCATAACTAAAAAACCGATCATTTTAGCAACAAAAATAATTGAAGACATTTTGTGGGACAAATAGGAATGGAACGCTCTATCCCATTGCTATAAAAACAAGAGCATTAATAACTTTTCTTAATCTTCATTTTAGCAAAAAAGCTGAAACCATTAAAATTCTAGCGAAGCATCAGCAAAGTTTATTAATTAAAAATTGGAACTGTTTTAAATATTCTTTCTCTGTGAAAAAGTTTAGCAAAAAAAAGACAATCAGCGAACAATCAGTAACATTTGTCAATTTTCCCTAGTTAAAAAAACGATCGATTCTCACTTTAGCAAGAAAAATTAAGTTTAAGCCCGCGTAATTTTTTTGCTTAGCCAGAAATTTTCTTTTGAGGAAAATCAGCGAACTATACCACATTCATAAAACGTACGAAATAAACTATAGATTATCATCACTTTAGCAAAGAAATTTGAGAAACAATTAAGCAAAATTTGGTAAATGAAAATTAGCAAAAAACAAAACGATGGATCATGATTTTTAGCAAAAAAAAAACTGGAAAATAAGTAAAATTTGCTAAACAAAAAGTAGCCTCCACAATGTTTCCCCCCTTCAGTAAAAAAATTAAAGAAAACTTTTGCGAAAAGCCGGAACACTTTGCTATTTGCATGAAATGCTCTTCCCCGGTGGTGAAAACCCATCGATGGTCAATTTAGCAAAAGAAACCAAGTTTAAACCCGCGTGCTCAGTGAAAAAATTTCTTTTCAAAAAATCTGCAAAAACGATTGATTATTAAGGGACCATCATCACTTTAGCAAAGAAAAACTCGATAAACATTTAAGCAAAATTTGCTAAATAAAATTTCGATCGTCAATTTTGCAAAAAAAAAGCTCTGAAAAA